TATAAGAAGATGAGGAAATAGAACTCTTTTTGTGGAGTCCTTGGTGCTTTCCGAGCTTGGTTGTTTGCCTGCAAACCTTTCATTACCCAACTAGGTAACATCACAGTGCTAGTGAGTGTGGGGTTTGCAAAACCCCACGCTCACTAGCATTGATGCTGTTACCTAGCTGGGTAATGAAATGTCTGCAGGCAAACAACCAAGCTCAGAAAGCACCAAGGACTCCACAGTTCAACCCTGAGCTACATATTTTTTATTCTATTAGAACTCTTTTTGCTTACATGCTGTTAACAAAGAACATGCCATCATGGAAAACAGAGTCTCCATAAAGAATGTATTAGTAAAACCATCATATTCTATTTCTCTGTGAACTTTTTTTTCTGATGTATTTATTCTTAATAATGTTATTTTTATAATAAAAGAGTTATATTAAGGAAAAGATTTCTTCTTATAAATAAGTCGAGATATATCTTCTTGAACAGGTTCTCTGTTCTAACAGGTAGTCGGGCATTCTGAATAAAATAAAGTCAAGGCACAATCAGAACATCTGATGTTCTATGGAGCTTGTTAATTCCAGCACTGGTTGTTAGATTTATTATGTATTTATTTGATTTATATCCCACCCTTCATTCAAGAACTCAAGGTGGCACACACAGCACTCCCTTCTATTTTTCCCCACAACAACCATGCTATTAGGTAAATTAGGTTGAGAGAATGTCATTGGCTCAAAGCCACCAAGTTAGTTTCCATGGCTGAGGCTGGACTAGAACATGGATCTCCCCTCTCATAGTCCTACACCTAACCACTACCCCACACAGAAATAAGAGACTAAATACTTTTTGATGAGGTTCAGTAGGGTTAGTCTGACATGTTCCATGTACCTGCCACAGATGCAAGCTTTACCACCACAGGAAAAAAAGCAGTATTCTATAGCAATTAGGATTTTTTTAAAAAGACCAGAAACACCTGGATTCACATTTCTGTTCCATTATGAAGTCAGCTCGGTGGCCTTGAGTAATCCTCTAAGAAGAGATGCTTATTGATTTCAGTTTTCATGAGTTCTACTGCAACTCTATTCTTATTGATTTGATCTGCACCCCCCAAATCCACATGCAAATCAGAAGAGAATTATCCTCTTGAATTTACATTTCTTTGAATGTTTTGATGGAACTCTCAAACATATCAAAATATGTTTTAAAAATATGCATTTTAAAGTGTGTATTTCAAGATGGTATTTAAATACCTTTTTCCCATTCAGATTTTTATATACATGCAGAAATAGAATGGAACAGATTTACAAGTGAGTATGTATGTATGTATGTATGTATGTGTGTATGTATGTATGTATATCAAAATCTGACACACCCTGGATCTGTTTATTTTTATCTCCAAGCCTAATTAATTCACAACTTCTCTCTCTCTCTCTCTCTCTCTCTCTCTCTCTCTCTCTCTCACTCACTCACTCACACACACATTTGGATGAATGCAGGAAACAAACAAAATCTTTATCCCATATTCAATTTTTAAAAAAACACAATAAGATCATCATCAAGACTAATTGTGTTTTTTTTAATAATAATTTTTTTTTAACCAACCCCCCCCCCCCCAATTAGATCATCACCAAGACTAGAGAGCCAGTTTGCTCTAGTGGTTAAGGCACCAGGCTAGAAAGCAGGAGACTTTAAGTTCTAGTCCCGCTTTAGGCATGAAAGCTGGCTGGGTGACCTTCGGACAGTCACTCTCTCTCAGCCCTCAACATCAGGCTCAGGCAACAAGCAAGTGGGTAAATTCCTGTCACAACCAATGGATCAATGTTTGGTTGATCTGAAAAAAGTGGACCCTGCACCTGCAGGAAAATGCTAGGAAGAAAAAGGAAAAAGAACATCATCAAGATTAAGCTCCCATCATACCTCATTAACTTGCTTTTTATCCAAGTGAAAAACTTGACCAGAACTTGTTGAAGCAATCTCTTCATAGACTTTGTAACCAATATGTGCTCTGTCATCACAGTCTCCTGTTAGAACAAATACAACCTGTATGGTTTTGTTTAAAAAAAAAAAGATAGTTATTTAAATAGCCCTCATATGAAAATGAATGAGAAAATCAGATCCTCAGAAATCAGCTGAAGAACACTATGCACTATACTATTAAAGAGGTAAGCATTATAAATATTTTCAATTTCAAAACCATTAGCTTAATAACTTGGCAGTAAAAGATAGGCCACATTATTTAATTAAATACGTTGAATGTGAAATATTAATGCTAAATATTATGTAATTACAAGTTTTGATTAGTCAAAGCATTATTTTGCCTTTGTTTTATTTTGTGTTTAACAAAACAGCTGCTGGAATTGTCAGACTAAGGTTCCATTAGAATGGAGAGGTAAACAGTTGGGACGAGAATCTCTTGCTTTCAAGTATTTTTCAAGAGACTTTCTAGAGTTTTTCCTCCTCTTCAGCTGCACATTCCAGGTTATGTTTCGCAGTCAGACTTGCCAATGGGCTTCCAGTCTGATCAACAACATCAGAACAGCAGCAGTGGAAATTTAGCTTTTTGGTTCAGCACTCCAGAAAGGCCAAGAAATTATTACACACACAGACACACACACACACACAAATGACTTGCAAGGAAATATTGGAATGTAGAATGTCCTGATCCACCTTTGCTGTTCCCAAGGATATTCCATTAAATTCTGTGCCATATCAACTTTTCCATCCTCTCCTATACCCCATGGTTGAGCATGCTTAGTCTTCACTGATTGTTTTGGAGTTGCCCCCATCAGATTTTTATTTTAACTTCTTCCAGTCTTATGGGTCTGCCAAGCTGTAGCTACTCTCCCTCTTGGCACAGGTGATGCTGTTTTGGCTACATAAATTTGACAAATAAGCATCAGAATAGCAGAAATAATAAATCAAAGGCTTACATGGGGAAAGCAGATATTTTCCTTAATCTCCATCAATGGAATCATAGAAATTAGGCTACATATTGTAAGATGTATAAGATGTGGTAGAAAATCATAGATTAATATTGTTTGAGCCTCATGATTGTTCACTGGAATTAGTTATACCCAAGGTTAAGGCATCTCTCTATCTATGTATCTATTGATCTATCTATTAATTGAGGATAGATATATTAGGCAGCAATCCCCACTGAATGAATGAATAAACAAACAAATTAATAAAGGATGCTTTATGCCACTTCAATCATTCTAGATTTTAACAGCTCACAACAAAGATACAATAATACATAAAATGGACACAATATTCATACAATAGGAAAATCACCTCCATATACTAAGATTCACTTCTGAACAAAATAGCATTGCACTGTCTACCTTTCGTACACAGTATGCACATTTCATAGAACAGTTGCAATACCCTTCTGTGGTTTGGAACAGGCAGTATTATAAGAGGGCTCATACCTGAGACTGCTTCTGCTGAATCAGTTGCAAGACATCGTGAGTCAGTTTGTAATCTTTGGACCGTGCATCAGTAAATACATAGATGAATGAACCAGGAAGAGAAATTTCTAGAGCAATTTTGATGGCCCCAATGCTCATCTCTGGACAGTCACCACCTCCCTATGGCAAACAGGGAAATGAACAAAGAGACCTAAATCAAAATCAGTTTGAAAGGTAAAGAATTTACAAAAAATCCAAATTCCCTAAGCCTACTGCATATTACGGATATATGATTTTAAGCAGGAAAACCTGAATTATTTAAGGGAGGTTTTCTAGGTTCTCACATCACATCAAATCTAAACCAAATAACCAGATTATGTCTTAGAACAATGTATGTCTGAGGCAGAAACTTTTATTTGTAAATGTTACATTATCCTAAAATAAGTTAACCGAGGAAAACTTAGTGGAAGTTAAGTTTCTCACCCACTGTGTCCTGAAAACCTCCCTGGAAGTTAATCTGCCTTCCAGAAAAATGTAGAATGAAGCATGGGAAAAAGCTGTTGGGGGAATTGCCCCTAAATTAGGTGGGTGTCCTCACAGTTTGGTTTAATTCTTCTTTCCTTTTTCAGGAGGGCAAGCAAGCAAATAAACTTTCGTAAGGCCACTGTTTTCTAAAAAAAGGGGGAAGAAGGATAGGCAACTTTCCTTATCTGAGGCTCCATAATTACAATTATGGAAACAAATCTGGATCTATTTTCTAATGTTTTCAATCCTGATACAATTATATCCATAATTCTGTTTAAACCCACACATTGTTAATTCCCCAGTTATCCAATGTTTCAACATAGATCCTGCACATAGAATTTTTAAGATCTTGCAGTCTAGTTCAGAATATTCCCCCGTCTTCAGATTAGAATTGCAGGGTATTGCAGGGATACAGTCTAAATATATGTTTATCAAGTTCCTATTTATTTATGTATGTATTTATTTATTTATTTATGAGTTGTTACTGCATTCTATTTTCTGGTTGTTTGGTTTTAATTGCTTTCAATATTACTGCATGCTGTCTGGAAGATCAGCTGAAGGAAAAGCAGGAAATACATCTAAGAAATCAATGAAAACTTCTCATTAGCTAAATTTAATGTATTTCTTCTTGATCCATTACTCTGTTTAGAAGGACCAATACTTCAAAATGTAGCTTCTGACTTTCTGATGGAAATCCAAGCCAAAAAAAAAATCTACCATCCAGAATGAATATGGCAGAAGAATGTTTTAAAAGGAAATGCTTTTTGATTCATGTGAACTGGCAATAGTTTTCTGTCTTTGGGGAAAAATTAATATAAGCCCTATTATTTTTTCCTGCTGCTATAAGAAAACATCATTTTGATAAATTACCATATTATGTTGACTCTCAATGTTGTGTATGTTATATTTTATTCCTAAAAAGCCTCCTTTTGTAAAGGCTTTTTTCTGCTCATCCTGTTATTCCCATTTTAGAAACAAAATGATTAACAATAACAGCAGCCTTTTCAAGTACACCAGTTAAGTACATGACTCAAAAAAGAAAAAGGTCTTCTAGGTTAGAATTTGGCACCCAAAATATTCAATCTGATATTTACCAGATGTTCTGTCTTCAGTTCCAATTAGTCACAGCCAACAAAGCCAACTGCAAAGTGTAAAAGATCTCTTTCCCACCGGGTCTCCCAAACCCAACCAGGACAACCTGGGTTGATGTATCAGTCATTGCTTTCAACAGGGATTTGTTGCCACCATTTTTTTATTTTTTCCCCTCAACCAGCTTTATAGGAATAAGACCAAAAGAAGGAAAACATCTTCCCCTTTCTGTTATCTGAGGAACTCGAGGACATCTTCAGCCTGAATCTGGTAATCAATCTGGAGATGCTGAGGCTTTCTAAGACATGTCACCAGATTACAACCCCCAATTATAGCTCCCACCCTAATTTTCCAAAGTCTTTGAAAATCTGGCTGTTTCCCCAGGCCTTGGAGTAGGGTTGCTGCTTCGGCCCCTGTAGGTTGCTTTTTATGTACAGTCTGTCTCTCTGGATGTCTGTGATCCATTTCTTAATTTTTTTACTGTTCCTGTTTTTAAAGTGTAAACTGCCCAAAATAATTTGGAATCTGACAGCCCCTACATCAAATAAATAAATAAATAAATAAATAAATAATAACATAACATAACATAACATAACATAACATAACAGCATGAAAAGTACCTTTTTAAAATAGTATTTAAATTTTATTTTAAAAAAATATAACAGCAAGGAAAAACACAGATAAAGATTAAGCTTAAAGAAAAGTATTAGGCTTCAGAAGAGGAAGTGTGAAAAGAAGAGCCATAGGTAGACCCATCCAAGATGACAAGGACTCAGAGAAAGGATAGCTTGAAGGAAACCAGTCAAGGTTTGATTTGAGCACATACAAATTTAAAACCCTACAGCTATTCTGTCTGGTAACTCACTACCATTAGAAGTTCATTAGAAATTACCATTACAAATTAGATTTCTTCCCACATCCTGAAATATTTCGCTGGAGGAGGAAGGAGTTTAGCTCTTTTTTCCTTCTCCAGACCCATTGCTCACAGAGAAAATGCAAAAAAAAAAAAAAAAATAAGTTTCCTGCAAAGCTCACTGATTAAATTCATGGAGATTCTTATTCAGGAATTTAGCCACCTAGCCTCCCTAGACTTAACCTTACTAGATATAGAAGGGATTAGAGATCTACAAGTCAGTTGCTGCTCCCTTCTGATCTAGTGAGACTCTCTAGACACTTGCATTTTTAGAGATGACCATTACACAATCCAGTTATGGGATTGTGGACAGGACAGACAGAAAATGTGTTACAAACAGAAGATGTGGGGATGACCAGTCCCCCCAGATAACTTTAAAATAGGTTTGGCAACAATGGCTAACTGTGATTCTTAAGCGAATCTTCCATGTTCTTCTGCTGCTGTAGATGAATGGCAAAAGAAAACAATTACCTATAGTATATGTGTTCTCATCATGTGCTTTCAGAAGCCATGGTTAGGAACCATGGCTCAAAATTACTTTTCAACTAAATCCAACAAAGTAATTTCTATGGTTCCACTGCCTCTCTTAACAGACTGACTCCTTAAATTCAAGAACTTTCTAGCAGACTCCTCAGCAAAGAAATTGAGTTTAGAAGTACATTCCAGAAATTTAAGATAACAATAATTTATCATGAAAATGCTAACTGATTTTGTTTAACTTTTCCCTTTCTCATTTAGTATTCCAAAAATGCAGAATCTTCATATCAAGATGTCAGAATGCACAAAAATGGGTACAATATTCTATCTTTGGCTTACCTCAAGCAATCTTGGGCAAATTACAGCACTATGGAAGAGCTGAGAAGCAAGTGATTGAAATAGCCAATTTGTTCTTCTTTTACTAATGAGTGGATAATACGTCTGCTGGGACTACCAGGAAGGTGAAGATGCTGTGCATGTACACACATGCAAGGACAACTAGGGACAGCTTTCTAAGCAAATGCAAAAGACATGGCAGGTTTAGCAGTTCCATGAGAGCTGCTTCATTTGTATTCCAGGGCATCACAAAACACATTTTTTCAACACTTTGTGCTCTTCTAGTAGTGAGCTACACTGAAATCTTTCCTTTTTTTTTTTTTTAATTAAATGAAAGAATATTTGAGAAAGTGATTTAAGCTAGCTATCTACTATATAATAATGGTGAATTTGATCAAATGGAAAGGTTTCTCTCTACTAAAGAATGCTATTAAAAGTAGCAATAAGGAACTAAAAATCGACAGTGTAATATTCTTCTTTTCACGGCAATCAACACAAAACTGGCCAGATTGGGAGAGTGGCCATCAGCCTGTGGATAGAAGAGGGGATCAGTTCCAGGAATGGCTTCATTCCATTTGCCTCTGACCCTGAGCTTGCAATGTCTCTTGATGAACAGTATCCCAAAACACCTTAATATTCTATTGAAAAATTATTTATAGCTATTTAATAAACTCTATCTATAATCCATCACAGAGCAACAATACCCAGGTTAGCTTCTCTCAGTACAATGATAGTTTAAAAGCAGGTTCTATGACTGGCTTCCCCAAAGTTGACCTTCAATTTTGATTATGAGAGGGAAGCCTAATACATCAGGAAAGCACCAGATTGCGACTGTAAAAAATAGATGTAACTCAGAGTTGGCATGTTCGGTTACAGGAGTTCTCTGGGGTTGGTTTTTCATTTGCAGGTGTTTCAATACCCATTTAAACAACCTATTTAGTGCTCTCAAATAATTCCTACAACCCAAAGGCGCCAGACTGGAGAAGGCTAGAATTATTAATATGCCCACTGTGAATATATTTTACACTAGCATTATTATACTGTTTTTGTCCTTTTTTATTTTTAATTTTTTTGCCAGGAATATATAATACATGTCCTGAAATAACCCCACTCAACTGGGCTGTTGTATTTGATCACCACAACTCCTGCAATGAACATTATTTAAAAACCTCCTTTGGAAAAAAAAATGTTCCACTACTTCAGTACAGTATTCATATGATATTAAATTATGACACTAATTCCTTTGCTCTCCTAACTAATGAAAAACATGCATTTTTCTCCTTCCCTGCAGCATAAATCTGTCTTGTTGCTGTAAATTTACACTTGTGTGCCTTTTGCTTTTATTAAGCCATGTTTCTCTTTTGTTCTCTGTCCCACACCTCAGTGTGCATGTACGTTGAGCATACAAGAAGATGTCCTTCCACAGCCACACAAACAACTATTTTAGCAAACAATTCCCTATGTTTAATCTTCCATTTAAAAAAATATATGATATTTTTAAGTGATGGGTCAGTTGGGACAATCCACTTCTTTGGGCAGCAGAAAGAAGAAGCATTATCTGTGGAACCTTCAGCCTTTGGATGCAGCCCCATGTCAAAGCCCTACATTGTAGCAACTCATATTAAAACAATCAAAGAAGAACCTTGGTGGCAGAAAGCAGTGAAACATGGTTTAGAATACCCTTCCTTAACCTGGTGCTCTAGTGTGTTGGGGGTTACAAAACCCACTAGAGGTATTCTAAAGGCTGGGGAAGGCTACTTCAGAGATTTGCTGGTTGAGGGAAACAAGGAGTTTTCCTTTTTGCCTCTCATCAAGTTAATGAAAGCCCTCTACAGACTAACAGTTACTAAGACTTGTTTCCTACCCATTACTTTGAGGGGAGGAAAACTGACTAAGCCCAGCTTCTCCTTCTACCAAACAAATAACCCATCCATTTATTGATTCATTCTGTAGGCAGTGGTGGGAAGGAAGAGCCCTTTGCTCTCCTTCTCCCCATCCCATAATGCCTTGCACATTCCTTCTTATCCCTACTGCTAAAGGTACGCTTTGAGCATTCAGAACTCATCATCTCAGTAATGGTTACAGCTCTGTGGAGATACTATCCTCTTTGGATTGTATGAGGTAAGATTTAAAACCAACTCCTTCTCTTAAGTCAGTCTTCCCTAACATGGTGCATCACACTCTAGACATGTTGGACTTCAACTCCCATCATCCACTGTCAGCATCCATTGAGCACCAAGTTGGGTGAGGTTATTTTTACCATTGCTCTGCAGATCTCCCTGGCTCAGTGGAAGAGGGGATTATGTTCTAGAACCTACCCCCAAAATTGAGGTACATGGAACTTTCCATCCCAGCCACAATTTCTGAATCAACCCTGTTAATTAGACAACTTCCTAAGCTATGCCAGAAAAAATAATAAAATGGAGAATGTTATAGCAAGCTAGTTTTGGGAATCAACTGCATTACTTCAGAATGTAGAAGTAGATAGTTAATCATCTTTTAGAACGCTGTACACACAGAACACTCCTGCAGGTATTAAGCTAGGAGACAGGAATTAAACTTCCCTGAAGTTTAGCTTGACACATGAGGAGAGCTTTTCTTCTAATACAGTGAAGCTTATACATTTACCCTTCCCAAGCAGACTGGAATTTCACTCCCTCAAAACTTAAAAGTGTACCAAATGTGAAGCTGAACAAGAAGTAGTCCACCCACCTGAACATATAGTTCTCTGAGTTCATACTGAAACTTCTTAGGATCTGTGGTAATGGTTACAGGACCAATTTCTGAAAAGAAAACAAGGTAAGTGTCAATATTCAAGGGGAAATTCAGAGAGGCTTAATAGCTGCAAAATCTGATACACACTTACACACAATTTATTACAGTCAGTGGCCAGTGCAAACAAATTACTTATATTATTTATATTTATAAATAATAAAATAAAATAGGTAAATTTAAGATAGCATAAAAATTATACACATTAAAAACCTATAAAACCTATTAAGCTGATCTAGTTAACTAAATTTATAAAACATGTTATCTATAAAACTTATCTACTTTATTTGCTATTTTTTAATCCTTGCTTAGGCACACGTATGAATACATAACAAAAAAATAAAATGGAAAAGTGAATAACTTTATAGCATACAATATTGAAGTGGGATAAAATATAGACTTTTGCCTTGCTAAACCTGCTGAAACACATAAATGATATGTCAAATTGCCTCTTTATGAAATCTGGTCTCATCTGGGCAATTCTACAAGTACAGTTCCCCAACTGTGAGAAAATATGTACAGAGAGTACAACAGTAGGGGTTTTTTTTTTTTTTTTGCATTCTTTTATTTTACTATGCCAAATTCTCAAAAAGCAAAATGCCATTCCCTAAAAATCACTTATTTTATTTATAAGTAACAGCAGATATCAGAAGCCACACCATGATCATCTAATAAATAATGGGCAAAGATTTCATCAGGTCAAGTATTCTGCATATTTCTGAGAAACAGTCATTTAAAAGTGTGAAGCTAAACAAAGATCAGTAGGACATTTGCTAACTCAGACAAACATATATTGATACTAATTGAATTTGGACAAAAGAAGCCCAATTATTTCAAAAGAAGTATGTGTATTTTGTTGTTGTTGTTGAAAACACTCATTCTCAGCTAAATTCAAGTGGTTTGAATGTTGGGGAATGCAAAAATCAGTGCAAACTTCAATTTTTACAAGTTTCTCCTTCTGGAAAAGCATTGAGTAAAGAAGCTATTTCTATTCTGTAAAATAACATCAAAATAGATCACTACAAATTCAGACGGATGTGTGGCATCATGCTATTGTGTAGCCCTCTAGATACTGTGGAACACCATTTACCCTAGCCATCATGGCCAGGGGCAAAGGATGATGGAAGGTGAAGTTCAATAACAACAACAACATCTGGAGAATCACAGGATTGCCATCACTGCATTAGAACAGAGTATAAGAGGAGGGACTTCTGTTCCACTCTATAGCCACATAATTTAAGATAACTTAAGAATCCATGGTATTCTCCCATGATTGTAACATCTATATTGAATTATTAAATAAAATCTGCCAGAGGACTGGATAAAATGCATATGCAAATGATAATGCAGCTTTACCTCACATTTTTATCTTATAATGCCAATGAAAGTTTAAACAAATTTTGGGATGTATGAGGGGAAATAAAAAAAAACTAACAGCAAAAGTTTAACAGAGTTCTTTTATTGCAGACAAGAAATTACTCATATTTATGCCGAAGATCTTCCTGCTGCAGAACAGAGAAGTCTCCCCCCCCCACACACACACACCCATGTCAGCCCCAGAGTTTGAATCATAAGCCCTTTTCCCTCACCCTTTCAAATGAACAGACTTTGGGCCATCTTGAGATGGGGAATTCCCTGCTCACTCTTTACTTGACATTTTAGCCTGGCCTGAGCACTGCTGAGCACCTTATAGATAGGACTTGTATTATGTTCCATTTTGTGAGGACTTTTACTCCAAAAGGGAAGCTAACCTATTAATACTTTACACACACCTTAAATATGTATCTCAGACACAATGGGGGATTTTCCCCTTTGAAACCTATCAATATTTTAATTTTTTTGGTTAGCACCAGATCCTTCTGACCTTAGAGTCGACGTCTCTCACAATTAGGTTGATTTTTCTCTCTCTTCAGTTTAGTCTTCTTATTGCTTACAAATGAGGAGCGGTAGCTCTTAAGAGAGCAAGTTGGGTAATGAAGAATAAAGGTTTGTCTTCCAAATTACAAATCCTAGTTTAATTACTGAAGCAGCACATTTTTATTAAAGAAAAGCCCCTGGGCCAGTAACTCACTGTACAGAATGTGTGCTCTTCTGCTGTAACACTGCTGTTTTGTCTGGCTCCAGCAAACCTCACCAGTTTTGGACAATGAGCTATAGATGTAGTGAAGTAGATTTTCATAAACATTCTTCAGAATGACATACAATCTAGCCTCATTCTTTGTTCATCATAATATGGTTGGGCCGGAGGCTGAGGCAATCTAGATTTCTGAGTCCTGGGAAACTGACCACCCCCAACTCACCATCTTGCTTGGACCTAGGTATAGAATCAGATAATTCAGTCACTAAATTTCTACATGGAATGGGGGTGGGGGAAGAAAGAGGGAGGGAGGGAGGGAGGAAGGGAGGGAGGGAGGGGGAAGGGGAAATATTGCTTCTGCAATAGAAGCATTGCTTTTACCTGCTCTGTCTGCTCTGTTTAACCTCCCCACACCCTGTCATATACATTTAAAAAAAAAAGAAAGAAAGCCAGTGAAGAACCAAAGGGTAGCCTGTACTGAAACTTAGCCTCCTTTAACATTATGACTGCAATGGTATTGTCTCTTGGGACAGTACCATCACAGTGCTATTCAGCTAAGCAAGAGGCTAGATCTAAAATCAGGTCTACAGGACTTGCTTTTTAATGTGAAACACTTAAATAAATCTGACAGTGCATACTGATTGAGTGTATGGAGTGAGTAGTTATGAATAAAATGCAAAATAATGTTGATGAACCTATGAACATATAACTAAGCTAAAGTCACGTACTCCCAGATCAGGGTTTTATTGTGTTCCCTCCTTGCCTCAAATGAGAAGAGAGATTCAGACATAATGTTTCTGTGTTTTCCCCATCATTTCATACATTTTTTGTCTTAACACAAAAAAAGTACAAAGGAGAAAAAAATGGAATAGAAGTAAATCAAAAATATGAAAAAATAAAACAATAATAACAAATCAACCATATTGTAGTTTAAAGCCAGAAACTTCATACCAATTTATCATGCAGCTTTGTGATTTGGTTGCTAAACAAAATAAATAAATAAGTGTCAAACTATCCCAATTAACTATGGGAATTTTAAATATTTTTTTAAATGCCAAATGCATCATATATGTAATACTTTTTTTCTAAGCTGTTATAACATATTACTGAATAAGACTTTGTCTCCCTAAACTGGAAAACCACAAAACTGAAGTTAACACAACCAAGATGGTGTTTAGACTGGTCCCTAAGCAACTGACCAAACACTTCTACATAAAACTGTCTGCCAAGAGATTTGACAGGCCATAATAATATTTCTATCTCCCACCTCAAAAATAAATTGGGAACCAACACCTCTCCCTGATAAATAAACAGGAAACTGTCTTGGTAAATAAATCTTGATGTCAGTAGACATCAAGCATCTCAGTACATTTGAAGACTTTGTATCTCATTTGGACAAAACGTTTAAAGCAATTATCCTGATCTTAAAAAAAAAACAACTATTGGTGTATGTGTGTGTACAATTCATAAATGCGGATAAGGCAAATGTCCACAGATTATCCTTTCTTAATGACAATAACAACGCAAGGCATCAGAAAATTCATTTCCATTATATCCATATTAAGTGGATGGTCTCTAAGAGAATAACAATGGGTCTCTTTAGTATCCATTAATTCAAGGGAATATTGAGTCAATTGAACAGAAAAAAAGGAAAGCTACAGCAAACTGTAGAGGATTATGTTGGCAATTCCTCATGTTAAATTCACAGGGAAGACAAGAGTAGAAAGTAGGACAGAAATATCAAGCTGCCTATGTCCAAAATGACTAACACAAAGAAAAAGGAAGTAGTCGGTGTTTACTTGAGAAGAAAAGTAAACCTAGATTCTTTTGAAAACTTGTTCAGTGTGAACAAACTACTCATGCAACATTCTTTCATTCCTACCTAGTTTTACCCTCTAGCATAAGTGGCTAAGAAATTGGAAGCTGAGATTCTAAAATAATAATAATAATAATAATAATAATAATAATAATAATAATAATAATAATAATAA